GCTTTTTTATTCTGAGAATTTCGTTTAAACACAAGAATTGTGCATATGTAACCAGGAAAATATTATTCAAATTTGAAAATTATGTTATGAATCACAGAGGATTTCATATTTTCCATTATTGTCAACTGCAAGCTCAAGACGTTGTTAGGACATCGTTGTTAAACTAGGAAAACCCAATGACAAGGAGGATAATTGAGGAGTACCTCGAAAGACATTGGTTTGTCGATCGAAGAAAGTATAGAAAGAGAAGAGTCTCCAAAATGTACTTAACAGAAGGAGAGAGAAAACGTGTTACGAGTAGTCTCCAAAATGTACTTAACAGAAGGAGAGAGAAAACGTGCTACGAGTAGTCTCCAAAATGTACTTAGCAGAAGGAGAGAGAAAACCTGTTACGAGTAGTCTCCAAAATGTACTTAACAGATAGAGAGAAAACGTGTTACGAGTAGTCTCCAAAATGTACTTAACAGAAGGAGAGAGAAAACGTGCTACGAGTAGTCTCCAAAATGTACTTAGCAGAAGGAGAGAGAAAACGTGTTACGAGTAGTCTCCAAAATGTACTTAACAGAAGGAGAGAGAAAACATGCTAAAGGTAGTCTCCAAAACGTATTAAACAGAGGGAGAGGGGAAACGTGCTAAGGGTGGTCTCCAAAACGTATTAAACGGAAGGAGAGAGAAAAAGTGCTAAAAATGGTCTCCAAAACGTATTAAACGGAAAGAGAGAGAAAAAGTGCTAAAAATGGTCTCCAAAACGTAATAAACAGAAGGTGAGGGAAAACGTACTAAAAGTGGTCTTTAAAACGTACTAAACCGAGTGAATAGCTGTTGATTAACAAGAAATTGCCGTATGTATCAGAAATTTATTCGATAAACAAGCTTCAAATATACTGTTATTTATAAATGTAACTAACTGAGAATGATTAAGAGTAAAACATCTCATAAGACGGATAAAAACACATGAATATATAACTAAGAACATCCAGGAACTTACAACAAATCGGATATACATATATATATATTTCATCTCGGGTGGGTACTATTTCAATGCTCACTGTTACCGTATTTTCTATATTTAGAAAATCCTATTGTGAATTTATTTAAGAAAGTGTCTCTAAACACCTTCCATATCTAAAACTATTATTTTACAGTTTTAGGTTGAAGGTGTTTTTAAATTTATTTAAGAAAGTGTCTCTAAACACCTTCCATATCTAAAACTATTATTTTACAGTTTTAGGTTGAAGGTGTTTTTATTCAGAAAGGTTACAGGTATCTAGTTTTATTTGTGTATCAACCCTGTCTTGTTATGTTTATTTTTTGCTTGCTTTGCAAAAAAATAAAATAAAGACATTTCAGTTACAAAACAATTTTTTTTCTATGTATCATGTTTATATAACTTTCAGGATAAAATGTTTTACAAAGTGTTTCTACGTTAACATTAGTAAACAGAGAAGACATACGTGTTATGAAGTAATATCTTTGTCATTTTGAACTTACTGCTATATTAGCGAATAAAATTGTGTTGGATAACAGTCTCTACTGCAGTCACGTTATTGTAAAAAAATGAATCATACTCCACATTTGAGGACCGTGGGTGTGTTGTAAGAGTGACGGTCAAATCCTACTTACATATTTCCATTGTTTATCCTAAAAACTTTCAATCCTGCTTCTTCTCTACAAGCTGAGGGTCGCGGGTTCGAATCCCTGTCACACCAAACATGCTCGCCCTTTCAGCCGTGGGGGCGTTATAATGTGACGGTCAATCCCACTATTCGTTGGTAAAATAGTAGCCCAAGAGTTGGCGGTGGGTGGTGATGACTAGCTGCCTTCCCTCTAGTCTTACACTGCTAAATTAGGGACGGCTAGCGCAGATAGCCCTCGTATAACTTTGCGCGAAATTCAAAAACAAACAAACAAACAAACAATCTTCTCTACATATACATTTACGTCATGAAACCGGTTTTTATAAGTTTAATGCCTATTTAAACACTTCGAATAAAATAGGATTATTAAGAGCTCTTTTGTTTCCATTGTACAATGCACGTCGTTGAAGTGACTTCATATCTATTGATTTCAATATACAGAATATATAGATATTCATTGTTTGTTCTTATTTTGCTAGATTTTCTATTGTTCTTTACGACAAGGGTTCGATCCCCGCGGCGGAGGGAGATCTCTCATTATGTAATTCTACACTGAAACAACAGGGTTTAACCAAACAGATAAGATAATCAACTTCAATCTGACAAGACACTAGGGTCGCGGGTCCGAATCCCCGTCCCACCAAACATGCTCGCCCTTTCA